TTTGGGTTCCAGGAAGTCCTGTCCACCCTGGGCCATGGGGCCAGTTGGAAGGGTATTTGCAATGGGAAGCATGTGAGAAGTGGGTGCCCGTTGCTGAGGACATAGGAGAGGGAGTTGATGGCTGGGAGCAAGAGGAGGGCTCTGTCTTGGCATGTGTGGGCATTCCTCAGAAGTGTTTGCCTGCTGCTGGCATTGGCCCATGAGCGGAATCCCAGGGTGCTCAGCTCCTCAGCTGGTCCTTCCTCCCTTATTTATTCTTTTCTATTTATATGTGTGGTCTAGGACCCTCAGTGACCAGATGATAGAGGGCATTTCTCCCAGGTAACCCTTCTTTTCTGTCCCAGGAGGATAGGCAATTCCCTTTGGGATGGGCTCCCACACCTCCCTCAGGTCCCCACTCAGACCAGCACCCGTGTCTGCCTCTGAGGACATTGGCAGTGCTTAGAAAGCCGGGCCGGTGCCCGGGATGGGGGGCAGGTACTCCCCACCTCCCTGCCTCCCCTTCTGCTCCTCATCCCTCCTTCCCCCTTTATTACTGTTTTTGTACTTGATGCCTTCTCAATGAGCAGTGGCTCTGTTGGAAGGAGGGAGCCGGGAGCCTGGTGGGAAGCCTTCTCCAGAGAGATGGCTTTAGGGGCTTTATTTAAAGAAATGTGTGATGACGGAGCAAGAGCAAGTCTGTACCTCTGTATGTTGGGAGATGATGATGAGGATGATGTCCATTGCTGTGTGATGGCTTGGAATTTAATTTATTAAAGTCAAATTGGAGTTTATAAACTGGACAACTGGTTATCCTTTGAAAGGCAAATAGGCAGCAAGGCTGTGGTGTTGATGGTGTGGGGGGATGAGAGACAGGCCCAGAGAATGAGGTTGGGTAGATGATACACATAGTGGGTCTGCTAAGAAATTCCTGCAGGGAAGAAATGTGGAGAGAGAATGGGAGAGATGAGAGTCTCTGAAGGGTGACGTTGTAGCAAAAAAGTCAGTTGACTAGTACAGGCATCTTCATTTCCTATCTGGAACAGGCTGCTCCTTCCAGGATATAAGAAGTTTAGAGCATGGACTCTGGAACTAGACTGCCTGCCTAGGTTTGAGTTCTAGCTACACTAATTACCTATGTGACCTTGGGCAATTTATATAACCTCTGAGTGCCTCCATTTTCTCATCTGTAAAGGGGGACTGTGATCATCGTAGCTATCATTTGGTTGTGGATAAGAAGTAAGTGACTAGCCGGGTGCGGTGGCTCACGCCTGTGATCCCAGCACTTTGGAAGACTGAGGTGAGAGGACTGCCTGAGCCCAGGGGTTTGAGACCAGCCTGGACAACTTGGTGAGACCCCGTCTCTACAATAAATCAGAAAAATTAGCCAGGCGTGGTGGCACGTGCCTGTAGTTCCAGCTACTTGGAAGGCTGAAGCAGAAGGATCGCATGAACCCAGCAGGTGGAGGCTGCAGTGGCTATGAGCATTCCACTACACTCCAGCCAGGGCAACAGAGTGAGACTCTGACTCAAGAAAAAAAGAAGTAAATGACTAAAGTACTTAGAACTCTGCTGTCATACAGTCAGTGCTGAATAAATGCTAACCCTTGCCTCGGAAGAGATAGTGAGAGGGGGAAGTCTGATAAGTGTTTCATCATAAGAAAAAGTCTCATTCCTAAATGTGGGCAAGTTTCAGGGAGCTAAAGATACTAGCAAACGCTGTCCCTGGTTCCTGTCCTCTGGGACATTATGCAGGACTGGAATCAGGTAAGCTGCTGCAGGATGTTGGACAGAGTGCAGGACCAGGAGACAGGAAAATTGATTTTGCCACAAACACACCAAGTAACCTTGAGCAGGCCAGTTCTCCTTTCTGGACCTCAACTTCCTCATCTCTAAAATAAGGGTAACCTAGATCCAGGTTACTACCAGCCTTGATATTCTGTGACTTACCTACCTCACATTAAGGCATATGCTTTTGGGTAGATAGCACGTGGAAATTGTTAATATTCCCCATGCTTCTGTCTATACTTGTCACAGGAGATATTTGGAAAGAGTGGAAGGGCATGGATATTTGGTTAATTTTTATATAGTGACATGCTCAACTCTAGGTCAAGAAAACTCAGAGATTTTTAAAGCTGTGAACTTCTTAGTGGTTCACAAAGAAGTTCATTTACCAAAATGACAAGACAGCCAAACACACTGAACTTGTAATTGTGCAGGAAACTTTTGTTGATAGGAGGGCAGGTATTCAGATTCCCACTGGACCTGAAAATTGAGTAGGTGGAAATTGTACTGAGCTTCTAGTGCTGAATTACCCAGAGTTCAGTGGAATCATATATTTTAGTGAAGAAGAGCATGATCCTGTTTCAAAAATAGATTTTTTTAAGTGAATGAGAAGAAATACGAAACATAATTTCATCAACTTCATCCATTTCACACTTTCAGAAGAGATCCACAGCTTTTAATGAGTATGAATTATGCTTTAAGTTTTTGTGGCAGCTTTTTAAATCTTTGGATATGTCTGAATTATCCAGCCAAAATTGTGGCTTATTTTCAAGAGAAGCAGATTGAGATAGAAGTAAACTACGCTAGACAGCATGACACTGCCTTAAATTTTGGAAACATATATGGATCCCTTAGCAATCCCGAAATTTTTGTTCTGTAACCTATGTCTGAGTTTACACAGCTTTGTGAATGAACTTTTTCTTCATGACATTGCTAAATAAAGCTAGAAGCTATTTTCATTGATGTAAATCTGAATTAAAAAGAGGTTGGCATTTCATGAAATACTGCAACTATGCACTTTTGAATGAATAAAGTTGGTAAAATATATTTTGTTACTTTTGAATTACATATATATTTTAGACACAAGGTTTCCAGCCTGTTGCCCAGGTTGGAGTGCAGTGGTACAATCATAGCTCACCACAGCCTCAAACTTCTGGGCTCAAGTGATCCTCTTGCCTGTCTCCCAAGTAGCTGGGACTACAGGAGTGTGACACCACACCTGGCTAAATTTTTTTTTTGGTAGAGATGGGGTCTTGCTAGGTTTCCCAAGTTAGTCTCCAACTCCTGGCCTCAATCAACCCTCCCACCTCAGCCTCTTCAGGCACTGGGATTCCAGGTGTGAGTCACTACACCTGGTCTGAATTATATTTTTTTTGGCCAGGCATGGTGGCTCATGCCTGTAATCCTAGCACTTTGGGAGGCCTAGGCAGGATGATTACTTGAGCCCAGGAGTTTCAGACTAGTCTCTGTCTCTAAAAAAAAAAACAACTAAAAAACAACTCTATTTTAAACAGGGACCTAGCTATAATGCAGTATTGTTAAAGCTAAAATTCATGCACAAATGACCTTACTATTTTAATGGTATCTTAAATTTTACTTTATCTATTCTGATTATACAAATTATACAGGTTTTTAGGTTAGAAGATACAAAAAAAAACTATAATGCAATATCAATCTTAATGAGCTTTACTAAGATACTTTTTTTTTTTTCTCTTTTGATTAGTAGTTTCTGTCACCCAGGCTGGAGTGCAGTAGCATGCTCAGGGCCACCACAGCCTCAATCTGTTAGGCTCAGGTGCTCCTTCCTTCTCAGCCTTCCAAGCAGCTGGAGCCACAGGCGTGCACCACCATGCCCGGCTAATTTTTTTAAAATGTAGAGATGAGGTCTTTCCAAGTTGCCCAGGCTGGTCTTGAACCTGTGGGCTCAGGCAATCCTTTTGCCTCTGTCTCCCAGTGTTGGGATTACAGGTGTGAGCCACCGTGCCTGGTGACTAAGGTACATAATTTATTTAATAAATGTCCTGAACTCTTATGGAGTTTCGGTCATTGGGCTAAGTGACAGGGTCATAAAGGTGAAAAACGAGTTTAGTGGAGCTCACCAAATTAGTTTAGTGCAGCATGCAGACATAACAAGCAAATGCAATACAATGTGATGGAGCTATACTATTGGGAGATACAAGAAAGAGCTACCAAGGAAGACTTTTTGGAAAAAGAAGGATCGAGAGAGACCATACGAAATGAGTGGGAATCAAATAAATGTGGGAGACAAGGAGAAGGATTATTCCAGGTAGAGAAAACAAGTTATAGGCTTGAAAAGGAAAAGCTGAACGAAATTTGGGGCTGGAGAGCAAGAAATTAAGTCGAGAAGGACTAAAGATGCGGTTGGACCAGTAGGCTGGAGGGCCCAGATGCTGAAGGGTCTAGAAAGCCTCAGTGTGGTTTCGGGGCTCAGGGGATAGAGTGCCTTAGACTAGGTAAAGATCACTGCGTGCTCCGTGGAGGATACTTTGAAGAGAAAACAAGAGTGCTCGCAGCGGGACCCGTCAAACTAATGAATAGATCCCGGCAGGACGTCCTTATTCGGGAGGGGAGAAGGGGCGGGTGGGGGTAGGGTAAGGGCATGAAGATAAAGAAAGAGGGATACATTTGAGAGATGGTTTTCAAGTAGGTAGAATCCACAGGCCTAGGCAATGGATTTGACTTGACGGGTGAGAGAAGACTCAATGGTGACCGCCAGGTTTCTGACCTCAACGAGTAAATGGATGTCAGAGTAGTTCGCTGAGCCTGGGAACACAGGAGGCAGAGATATGGGGGGAAAAGAAGCCCACACAGCCAATACCAATATTTAAGAGATGAGAAGACTAAGACGCTGAAGGATATAGAGGCAGGGTCCTCGGTTAGGACGAGCAGCGCTGGGAAGCGAGCCACCCACGAGACTTCGTCCGCTCTGCCCCCGCGGCCAACTAACGCAATGAACCATGTTAGGGGTACCCCACTGGGCGCCTGCTTAGAGACCTGCGCATGCCCATTAGGTCCCGCGCGCCGAGTCTGCGCAGTTAGGAGAATTCAGGTCCTCGGGCTTCCCGCCTGCGCCCGGCCAGGAACCCCGTGGGATCCGCCGGCGCGCCACCTTCTAGCGTATCCCGTCGCCCCTCGCTTCAGCCCGGGACGCCGAGCTACCGTTCCCGCCTCTTCCGTGTTTTGGTACGCACGGGTTCCGTCAGACGCAACTGCCATTGGCTATCAGTCGGGTCTGAGAGCGGTGATTGGCTGCTCCTGCCCGTCGCTCAAGCGCCCTCCCCGGAGATGGTCGGGGTGGGACTTGAGCTGGAGAGACCCGGGGTCGACGAACTGTGAGCTGGGGTCCGGGCTTTGCGGGGGGCTGCATGAGGCCAGGCACTTCCCAGACTACCTCGGTGAGTCTTTCTCTTGCAGCTCAACTAGCCTGTTCTGCCCTAGCCCAGTCTCCTTGCTCCAACTCGCACCTCTCTGCTTTCTAGTCTAAGGGCTTCGCTGCCGCTGAGACTCGGTCACCGCCACGCCTTGGGGGCAGGATTCCGGGAAGCCTGTGGGACTGCGAGTGACAGCTTTTGCCCAACGGGGTGGTCTCCTTTCTTCTCTGAATTCTGCTCGTCCTTCGAGGCTTGGTCCGCATAGGGGAGCTTTCCCTTTTTCGCCTGCCCACGGGAATCTCTCTGTCCTGATCTTTTGTTTCGGTCGTTGTCTTCACTGATCAGAGTCTTAGCTCTTTGGCCAAATTGTGAGTTCTTCGGAGACCTGGGCTCCTTCTTTTCTTGAATACCATTCAGGGTTCATTCAGTGTTTCAAGTATTAAGAGGGAGGAGTGATGACCATATTGTTATTATATCCCACATCTCCCCAGGGTAGAAACAAGCAGGACACAGGAGGAAACATTAATGAAGGCTGGAGGACAGTGAAGAGGGGAGTTGGGAGCTTTGCCAAAGTTTCGGGTCATTCTAGATTGCTTACCAGGTCTTATCCACCAGTCTAACAGCAGATACGTGTTTAGAAGATTTGTGATCAGCACCATGATTGGCACGATGTAGGGACACAGATGGCTGTGATGTGGTTTCTGCTCAGAAGCTTTTTATAGTCCATTTGAGTAATCTAGACTAGAACACGTAACACAACCACGGGCAGCATGAAACTAGGGTTGAAGTTTTATGGTGTCAACTGCGCCAACCATAGAACCAAGCAAGAATAATCACTGAGAGGTGGGGTCGTTTACAAAGGCTTCTTGGAATGTGATTATTTCCTGATATTTATTGAGCATCCGACTTGGTGCTGATTTTGGGAAGGATGGTCCCTGTTCTGAGAAACTCCTGGTGCAGGGGAGACACGTTCTGTTGCATTGAAAAAGGGCTGTAATAAAGACGTGTATGGAATGCTTTGGGCAGGAGATGGCTATTCCAGCTGTATCTGGATGACTTGGGAAAGGAGTTGGTCAAGGAGAGGACATCTGGGTTTGAAGGATGAGTAGAGTTGCATAGACAGAGTTTTAGGAGAATATGGTACTTTCAAAGACTGAGATGATTGAATCAGAGAGGAGCAGGAAATGAATGGAGAGGGAAGCTAGAGAAGCAGTGTGGTTTGGGGGAAAGAGCATCGTCTTTGGATTGAAATAAGGGCACCCTTGCACCAAATGGAATGAAGTACGGAGAGGGCTCACCACAGGGCTGACACACTCACTGTAGCCCCCAATACATGTTAGTTTCCTTACCCAGACCCTGGAGAAGTAAGTTGAGGCCAACTTGAGAAGAGCCTTGCATTTCATACTCTAGGTGGTAGAGCATCAGAGGTGTTTTGGGATTTCATACCTGTTTAGGGAGGGTTTTCCTACTTTTCTTACCCCAAGGTATTTTTTTTTCTTTTTCTTTTTTTTTTTTGGAGTTGGAGTCTCACTCCGTTGCCAGTATTATAAAAGTAGTCAATATTTTCTCCTAATAAGGATTTACTGTGAGTTTACAACCAGGTCAGTAACCCTTTATACACCCTAGAGTGTCAAGGATGACAGGATTCCTCTCTGAGGAGGAGAAAAGGTTATGTAGATTCAGTAGGTATGGTAGGTTCATAAGCCTGTATTGGAGGCATTAAGGATGTGATGATTTTTTATACTTTCCTATTCAGGGAAGGCTCTTTTCAGAGTTTCTATTTGTTTCAGGTAGCCCCAAGGGAGTAGCAGGACCTAACATGGTGGGGGCAGCAAGAATCAGTGAGACGCCCTAAGAGAAGGTGGCAGTCAAAGCCTCTTAGTGAACTCTTTCCTCCCAGAACTATTGCTCACAGTGTCATCCTGTGTGCCTGTGGTTTTTTTTTCTTTCTTTCTTTCTTCTTTTATTCTCCTGGAACTACCTGCATAGAACTGGGGTCCTGAGTTAGAAGAGTTCTTGCCTTCCTGAATCCCAACTTCTAAGGGAGAAACTGGTGAACTCTACATTTGTGTGCATATTAAAAATTGAAAACCAAGCTGGGCTGGGTGGCTCAACCTGTAATCTCGCACCTTTGGGAGGCTGGGGTGAGTGGATTGCCTGAGCCCGCGGGTTTGAGACCCGCCTGGGCAGGCGAGACCTTATTTCTACAATAAATCAAAAAATTAGCCGGGTGTGGCAGCGCGCGCCTGTAATTCCGGCTACTCGAAAGGCTGAGGCGGAAGGATCACCGGAACCCAGCAGGTCGAGGCTTCGGTGGCCGGGAGCAGCCACTGCACTCCAGTCTGGGCAACAGAGTGAGACTCCAACTAAAAAAAAAAAATCGAAAACCTTTAGGGTTTTTTTTTTTTTGGTCTCTGTTTGTTTTGAGACAGGGTCTCACTATGTCGCCCAGGCTAGAGTGCATTGGCACAAGCTTGGCTCACTGCAGCCTTGACCTCCTGGATTCAAGTGATCCTCCCATCTCAGCCTCTTGAGTAACTGGGACAACAGGTGTGTGCTACTGCACCTGACTAATCTTTAAAAATTTTTTGGCCAAGTTCAGTGGCTCAGTCTGTAATCCCAGCACTTTGGGAGGCCAAGGCAAGTGGATTGCCTGAGCCCATGGGTTCAAGACCAGCCCAGGCAACTTGGCAAGAACTCGTCTCTACAATAAAAATTAAAAATAACTGGGCATGGTAGCGCACGTCTGTAGTTCCGGCTGCTTGGAAGGCTGAGGTGGAAGAATCGACAGAGCCCAGCAGGTCAAGGCTGTGGTGGCCGTGAGTGTGCCACTGCACCACAGCCTGGGTGATGGAATGAGACTCCAACCCAAAAAACAAACAAACAAAAATTTTTTGTAGACAGGGTCTTGCTATGTTGACCAGGCTGGTCTTGAACTCCTGGGCTCAAGTGATCCTCTTGCCTCATCAGCCTCCCAGAGTGTTGGGATTATAGGCATGAGCCATCACACCAGGCCAAAAACCTTTAGTTTTGTATTTGTCTTTCTTCAGCAAATATTTATTACATGCCTAAGCATGCCTAGCACTGTATGACACCCAAGGTGCAGTATAAACTGGGCAGATAAGGCTTATTATGTTCAAATGGAATATACATTTTAACAGAGGATGTTGGGGGACTGGTGAAATAAACCATTGGATAGGTTAGGTAAAGGCAGATTGTATGGCACTTTGCAAGTCTGCCAGGGAACTTATGACAAGATGTGGTTAGAAGAAAGGAGCTTCTGGGCTTATCTGCAGGCTATATCAGATAGAAAGAATATGGACTTTGGAGTCAGCCTGACCTGACCCTACCACATCACTAGTGTGTGGCCTTAGACAAATTAGTCAGCCTTTGGCCCCTTGGGTTTTTATCTCTAAATGAGGTTAAAGTTACTGCCTACTTCATAGGTGGTACTGTAATTAAATGACATAATTTCATAAGTAAAATGCTCAATATGCTGTTTGACTTATAGTAAGTATAGATTAAAAACAAAAAGTTTTGTTATTCCTGTTTTACAGATGAAACTGATCAGAAGTTAAGGGTTAAGTTCTTGGCCAAAGTCATACAGCCAGTAGGTGTTGGACAATAGGGCCTGAATTTGAATTCTGGTCGCTCTCCAAAGCCATCTCTTTGAACCTGAGCATTGTTCTGCCTCCCATAAGAATAATTTCTTTTTGGCAGATTTCTCTGAAACTTCATGAGGAAATATCTGTTAAAGTATTTAGCTCAATGCCTGGCACAGTAGTGTTAGTTTTTGTTCTCCCTTCCCGTGAACTCCAGATAGCTTTCAGGGGTTTGAGGAACTGCTACTCCTTCCTTACCAAAAAAGTGTGGGATTTCTCATGGGTTACTGGAAAAACACCCACTGATTCTAAACAGGATGTCTGCCCAGCTGTTCGCCAGAAACACTCGGGTGGAATCCTTGCAGCTGTGTATTTCTTCCTCTTCCTGTAGGGTGAAGGCCATGCCACCTCCTGGGAAAGTTCCCCGGAAGGACAACCTGTGGCTACAGTGTGAGTGGGCGTCCTGCTCTTTTGTGTGCTCAGCCATGGAGGAATTCTTTGAGCACGTCACTCAGCACCTGCAGCAGCACCTGCATGACTCTGGGGAAGAGGAAGAAGAGGAGGAGGAGGATGATCCACTTGGTAAGGACACAGAAAGAGGAAAGAGCTCAAGGGAAGATGGAAAGTCTGACTTTCCTTTCCCCAGAGGGAGAAGGCGGCCTTAGCAAATGGTGGTTTATTTTCCTAATTGTGCTTTTTTTGTTTATAAAAGTGTTATATTTCTCAGGTCGGACACAATGGCTCATGTCTGTAATCCCAGCACTTTGGGAGGCTGCGGTGAGAGAGAGGATTGCCTGAACCCAGGGTTCAGGACCACGCAACTTGGCAAGACTTCGTCTCTGCAATAAATAAAAAAATTAGCTGGGTGTGGTGGCATGTACCTGTAGTTCCAGCCACTTGGAAGGCTGAGGCAAAAGGATCGCCTGAGCCCAGTAGGTCGAGGCTGCAGTGGCCATGAGCATGCTATTGCACTCCAGCCTGGGCAACAGAGTGACTGTCTCCAACTCAAAAAAACAGTTGTATTTCTCAGCAGCCCTGTTCAAGAAAAAATAAATAAATTGTAAACTCATTTATAGAAAACTCAGTCAACAAGGATAGAAGGAATAAATCTGCCTTCCTGCCATAAAGAAGCAATTACTGACAGCACTTTAGTGAACTTTTTTTTTTTAATCAGAGTCTCACTGTCGCCCAGGCTTGAGTATAGTGGCGTGCTCACAGCCACTGCAGCCTTGAATTGCTGGGCGCAGGTGATCCTTCTGCCTCAGACTTCCAAGTAGCTGGAACTACAGGTGTGCACCACCACGCCCAGCTAATTTGATTTATTGTAAAGACGAGGTCTCCAAGTTGCCTAGGCTGATCTTGAGCACCTAGGCTCAGGCAGTCCTCTTGCCTCTGCCTCACAGGGTGCTGGGATTACAGGTGTGAACTATTGCACCCACCTTGATCATTCTTTTTGACATCTCTCTCTCTGTGTATACATAGATTAAATATAGAGGACTATATTTTTGTTTCTATAAAAAATATTTTACTGTACAAGCTAATGGCAACTTTTTTGTTTTTTGAGTTGGAGTCTCACTTTGTTGTACAGGCTGGAGTGCAGTGTCACACTCATGGCCACTGCAGCCTTGACCTGCTGGGCTCAGGCGATCCATCCACCACAGCCTTCCAAGTTGCTGGAACTACAGGCGCACACCACCACACCCAGCTAATTTTTTTATTTATTGTAGAGACAAGGTCTCGCCAGGCTACTCAGGCTGGTCTCGAACCTCTGGACTCAGGCGATCCTCTCACCTCCACATCCCAAAGTGCTGGAATTACAGATGTGCGCCTGGCGGTTTTTTGTTTTGTTTTGTGTGTGTGTGTGTGTGTGTGTGTGTGTGTGTTTTTTTGAGTTGGAGTCTCACTCTGTCGCCCAGACTGGAGTACAGTTGCTGCTCCCAGCCACCGCAGCCTCAACCTGCTGGGCTCCGGCGATCCTTCCGCCTCAACCTTCCAAGTAGCTGAAATTACAGGCATGTGCTACCATGCCTGGCTGATTTTTTGATTTATTGTAGAGATGAGGTCTCGCTGCCCAGGCGGGTCTCGAACCTGCGGACTCAGGCAATCCACTCACCTCAGCCTCCTAAAGGCACGGGATTACAGGCTGAGCCACCGAGCCCGGCTTTGTTTTGTTTTTTGACTTTTGTAGTATTTCCATTTTTTTAAAACTGCAACCACCAGTTAGGAATACATTTTAGATTATTTTAGAGACGAGATCTTGCTCTGTCATCCAGGCTGGAGTGTAGTGGCATGATCATGGTTTGCTGCAGTCTCAAACTCCTGGTTTCCAGTGATTCACCCCCACCTCAGCCTCCTGAGTAGCTGGGACTCCAGGTACACACTGTTGTGCTTGGCAGGAACATATTTTATATCAATCCTGTACACAAAAGTTAAAGAAAAACTTGAAATAATACTTATCTTCGTTAAATGCACTCTGAAATGTTCTATCTTATTGTCTTTTATCTAAAAAAACGTGGTTTGCAGTCTACTAGATTGATTTTACTACCCACTAATGGTTCACAACACAGTTTGAAAAACTTTGTTCTACAGAAAATAAGTAGGCAACTTTCCTTTTCCCACCCCAAATTTTGTTTTATGAGCTGTAACTGACAGTTTCAAAAATCAAGCCAGGCGCAGTGGCTCATGCCTGTAACCCTAGCACTTTGGGAGGCCAAGGGGGAGGATCCCTTGAGTCCAGGAGTTCAAGACCAGCGTGGGCAACATAGCAATACCCTGTCTCTATTAAAAAAAAAAAAAAAAAAAAAACATAGCTGGGCACAGTGTCTTGTGCCTGTAATCTCAGTACTTTAGGAGGCTGAGGCAGGAGGATTGCTTGAGATCAGTCTAGGTAACATAGCAAAACCTCATCTCTACAAAAAAGAAAAATTATCCAGGCGTGCCTGCAGTCTCAGCTACCCGAGAGGCTTAGGCAAAAGGATCACCTGAGCCCAGTAGGTGGAGGCCAGAGTGAGCCATGATTTTGCCACTGCACTCCAGACTGGGCGACTGAGTGAATCCTGACTCAATAAAAAAGACCCAAAAAAGTCAAGTAATATTTATACAAAAGAGAAATTAGGAGATGATTATATTTTCAAAACAAGTAAATTTCTTCAAAGCATTGAAGCTATGGTGCTTAGTGATGCTAGAGAAATAGGAAGTGGATTGATGGGGCCTTCCTGGAGAAGGCAGATCTTGAGCAGAACATGAGGGGAAGGAGGATAGTGGTTTCACAAGAAGTGGGAGGTGTCCGAGGTTGGGAAGCAGTGACTTTCTCAGGAACCAGAAGAAACTCTGAGACAGAGGTCATGCGTGCCAGGAACATCTGCTGTCCCTGAGTTTCTGGCACAGGCCTTGCACAGTGAACCTCTGCTTAGACCACACATCTTCATTTTTTTACAGATACTTGTCCTTCAGATCTCAACACAGGAACACTCCCAAGACACCCCTGTCTACATCAGATTACCTCTGTTTAATCTTTTTCTTAGCTCCACTTATATCCCTCCCTCATAACACATACAACTGGTTATGGTTTTATATTCATAGATGTGATTATTTGATCAGTGTTCTTTCTCCCTGTCTGAAAGCTATGGGAGGGCAAGGACTGGGAATCTCTTTATTCGTTGTTCTAGCTCCTGTGTATGGCACACAATTGATGGTCATTAAATACTGGCATTTACTGAATGAACTCCTGGTAATTTGGTCAGAGTCCAGACTCTTCACTCCCTGCTTAGTGCTGCAGGTGGAAGGAGAGCTGAACCTTGGAAAGTATCAGACTGTTCCAAGCCAGGCACGGTGGCTCATGTCTGTACTCCCAACACTGGGGAGGCTGAGGTGAGAGGGTTGCTTGAACCCAGGCATTCGAGACCAGTCTGGGCAACTTCACGAGACTTCATCTTCACAATAAATCAAAAAATTAGCTGGGCATGGGTGGCGCCTGCCTATAGTTCCAGCTACTTGGAAGGCTAAGGTGGAAGGATCACCTGAGCCCAGCAGGTTGAGGCTGTGGTGGCTGTGAGTGTGCCACTGCACTCCAGCCTGGGTGACAGAGTGAGACTCCAACTCAAAACAAAAAGAAAGTATCAGACTGTTCCTTCTACACCCCTTTCTGCAGAGGAAGACTTCTCCTGCTTGTGGCAGGAGTGTGGCTTTTGTTCTCTGGACAGTTCATCTGACCTCCTCCGCCATGTCTACTTTCACTGTTACCACACCAAGCTGAAACAGTGGGGGCTACAGGCCTTGCAAAGCCAGACTGACCTCAGTCCCTGCATCCTGGACTTCCAGAGCCGGAACGTCATCCCTGACATCCCTGACCACTTCCTGTGTCTGTGGGAGCACTGTGAGGTCAGCAGGCAGTGCCAGTAACCGGGGTGGAAGGATGCTGGGGATCTTAATTCAAGATGCCTTGACCCTTTCAGGGATGCCTTATATTTCCAAGATTCTTGCTAGTATTTCTCCTCCATTTCTGTGTAGCTCCTTCAAACTTTCCCAATCCCACCAAATTAATTTGGGAGAGAACCAGGAAGTCCCCTTTGGACATAGAGGGGTAGGAGTCCCTCCACACACCCCTCAGTCCTCATCCCATGTTGCCCCTGGTGCAGAGTTCCTTCGACAATCCTGAGTGGTTTTATCGGCACGTGGAAGCACACAGCCTGTGCTGTGAATACCAAGCAGTCGGCAAGGAGAACCATGTACTGTGTGGCTGGAAAGGTAGGACCGTTCCTTAACTGCTGGCCTCTGGAAGAAACCTGGGGCTGCTAAGGGGCTAGAGCAGCCAGGCGTGGGACTAGCTCTGCAGGGCAAGATTGGTTGCTGGCTGGAGAGACTTGGGGGTACCAGAGCCTGCTCTGGGGTTTTGTGGCTGGAGACTGAAAGGGCCTTCCTTCCCAGGCTGTACCTGCACCTTCAAAGATCGCTGTAAGCTTCGAGAGCACCTCCGCAGCCATACCCAGGAGAAAGTGGTAGCCTGCCCCACCTGTGGGGGCATGTTTGCCAACAACACTAAGTTCTTAGATCACATCCGTCGCCAGACCTCACTGGATCGTAAGCAGTCAGATGAGACGGGATGGGTGCAGGCTGTCCTGCTTGGAGTGGGGCTGGGGGCATGTTTCTAGGGGAGGTGGCTACTGAAGAGACCTGTAACTTGGCTCCCTCTTCTTTTGGGATTCAGGCACCTCCCACAGTCTCTTTGCTGAGTCAGATTAATAGACATTGTTATTTAATACTTAATATGTACCATCTCAGTTATCTCAGAGAATCCTCACTACAGTCCCATGAGGTAGGCTTCTTATCCCCCTTTTTGCAGATGAGGAAACTGAGGCTCAGAGAGGTTAAATCACTTACCTGAGATCACACAGCTAGTAAGTGGTGAAGTCGGGATTCTGACTCAGATTCTCGACTCCAAGTCCCATGCTCTTTCCATGATACTACGTCCATCCGTAGCTCCCTAAGCTCCCCTTTCTCCTTGGGTGGTTCCCTTTTGCCTGGGATGGTTCCCCTTTCCTCTCTGTGCCTCTCCACCTCCCTCACAGCCCTCCATTCTTCTGCCTGCCTCACCTCAGAGCAGCACTTCCAGTGTTCTTACTGTTCCAAGAGATTTGCCACGGAGCGGCTATTGCGAGACCACATGCGCAACCATGGTGAGTGGCCTGCGTGCCCAGCCTCTGTACCCGCCCTCCAGGTTTCCGCCAGTCTCCACATCACAGCCTCCTCTCTGCTCCTCTCAGTGAATCACTATAAGTGCCCTCTATGTGACATGACCTGCCCGCTGCCTTCCTCTCTCCGCAACCACATGCGCTTTCGCCACAGTGAGGATCGGCCCTTTAAATGTGACTGTTGTGACTACAGGTAAGGGAATCCAGGGGCCAGAAAGCAGAGCTCGTGTCCCAGGGTCCCCCATGCCCTCCAACCCCTCCTGACCTCTCCTGGCAGCTGCAAGAATCTGATCGACCTCCAGAAGCACATGGATACCCACAGCAAGGAGCCAGCCTACAGGTGTGACTTTGAGAACTGCAGCTTCAGTGCCCGCTCCCTCTGCTCGGTCAAGTCCCATTACCGCAAAGTACATGAAGTGAGTGGGACTGGTGGTGGGAAGGCTGGCAGAATGGGGGGGCGGGGTGAAGGGCTGACCTCACTCCTCCCTCCCTCCTCCTCAGGGAGACTCAGAGCCAAGGTACAGATGTCATGTGTGTGACAAATGCTTCACAAGGGGCAACAACCTCACCGTGCACCTTCGCAAGAAGCACCAGTTTAAGTGGCCGTCAGGGCACCCCCGTTTTCGGTATGTCAACCCTCCCCTCCAGATTAACCCACATTTTTCCCCATACCTTTTCAACACGTTTTAAAAACCTTGAATTTGATGGTGTTTTGATGTCTACCAGCTCCATTTAGGCTCAAAGATCCCTGAGAATAGCAGTGGAGCCAAACTTGTTTTTCTGATGTTTAAATCCAAGGCACAGTGCCAAAAAAATGATGCCAAAAGTCCTGCACCCAGAACTAGAGCTAGAGTCTAAGGGTCCTGATCCCTAGCTCCATGACCTTCTCATAAATCCTTTGACACTCCCACCCTCCAACACATCTCTCTCTGGATTGGGTTTCTACCTAAAATTTTCCATTTTGAATAATGATCCTTTTTACCTTTTCTTCCACATATTCCACTAAAGACCTTTTTTGACTTCAGCTTCCTTCACTTAGAATCTCAGGGCTTCTTCCATCTCTTGTATTTGTCTCTTACCTTGCGAACCTCCAGGCCATTTCTGCATTCCCCTGCCTATGTTTACTGCCCTTTATGCTCCTACCTCACCAGGTACAAGGAGCATGAAGACGGCTACATGCGACTGCAGCTGGTTCGCTATGAGAGTGTAGAGCTGACACAACAACTACTGCGGCAACCGCAAGAGGGGTCGGACCTGGGAGCGTCCCTGAATGAGAGCAGCCTGCAGGGCATCATTTTAGAAACAGTGCCAGGGGAGCCAGGTACTAAGGAAGACATGGAAGAGGAAGAGGAGGGTAGGGGCAGCGAGGGGACAGTCCTCTCAGCCTCTCAGGACAACCCCAGCCCTGTCATCCATGTGGTGAATCAGACCAATGCCCAAGGCCAGCAAGAGATTGTCTACTACGTGCTGTCTGAAGCTCCAGGAGAGCCCACCCCCGTCCCTGAGCCACCCTCAGGGGATATCATGGAAGAACTTCAAGGAATAGCTGAGGAGTCAGAAGTCCAGATGGTGTGAAGCCTGCAGAGCCAGACCATTCCTACCCCAGACCCCGGGGTTTGAGCCAGGCTGGTGATGTGCCTCTAGTGGGTAGCCCTTGCCAATGGATGCGTCTAGGGGTGGTGCTGAGAACAGTGTGGTCTGCTGTGGCCCAACCCTGCATCATTCTGTAGTCTCTAAGGATTTCTTTTTTCTGCCAGATTGCATTTTGTTGGGAGCCTGAGGAGTTTGGATTCTTTGAGGGGACTCTGGATGTGTATGTTCTTGTTAAGGGGGTTATTATCAGGCTTAATTATGACCCCTAAGACATGCTAGATGGTGATTAAATCCTTAGTCAACTCACATCCATTCCCATTTATAGGGGTCCTTAGGCCCAGGGAACATGTGTGACTGGTCCCTACAAAGGCCCTTTCCTTGTCACCAGCTGAGGCATTGAGAACCAAGTAATCATTTCCCTCTTAAGTTTCTTCTACAACCCCAAGGACTTTAATGGTTATCCTCAGGGATGGGGTTATTGGCACTGAGTGTGTGTATAACAATTGTTTTTGGTAATAAAAAAAATGCTTGGGCTGTTATTCATTTCCTGTTCCTTATGTTCAGTGGCCTAGGTAACGAGGAGATATAGCCATCAAGAAGAGGAGCTGAGTAATTAGGCTTGTTCCCCTTTTACTGACTGGGGTCATTTGTTTTTGTTTTTAACTGCCCTATTGTCTTCCCCTTCCCCCTTTGGGGAAACTTGTCTGTTTCTTCAGAGAGCATCTGCCATCTCCATGGAGGCCCCAGACGTTTGGCCATAAGCAGGCAGTAGCAGTGCTGTAGAACAGCCAACTATGCCTACACCCTCAGTCTTGATTAGGACCCAGTGCCTCAAGGGTTGGGCTTCTTTACCAGTAGGGCTGTGAGACTAGAGGAATCCGGAGGTGGAGGGTGGATTGGGAAGCCTCCCAGGGAATAATGGCAGACACTCGGGGCCCAGGAACTAAGGTAGAAAATTGTGTGTTGAAGTGTGCATTTTCCTGGGGAAAGGATCTATTTTTCATTAGATTCTCAAAGAGGTTGAAATTCCCCCAAATAAAAACCATTCTTGAGGCTGGCTCAGCTACTGCTCAGCGCTCTATCCATTCTTATGATCTCTGCCACTCTGGAGAGATCAGGAAAATACTCAGGGATCTTGAGTGGTCAGATTGCTACCTGAAAAGGATTTCTCAGCCTTTTTTGAAGGACCTAATTTTGTTCTTATTACAAAAAACTGTATGTGCCTATTTTGGAAAGGATTAGAAAAGAAAAAATTTTTTGCCATCAGCCATTTACCGAGTTCATGCTATATTCAGGCACAGGTGCTATGGATACAAATATGAACAAAACCTAGGCTCTACCCTGGGACTTTGCAAGGAAGGGCTAGATAAGCTGAGTGATAGAAGCTTATCAGTGTTCATTTAGAAGTTCCAAATAGGAGTGGACTGTATTTCCGGGGCAAGGGATTAAGAAAGGGATCATCCAGGAAAAGACCTACCTAACCAAGACCAGAGGGAGACTTTTACTATCATCATCATGATCATTATTATTATTACTGTTTTTGAGTTGGATCTCACTCTGTTGCCCAGGCTGGAGTTCAGTGTCACACTTATGGCCACTGCAGCCTCAACCTGCTGGGCTCAGGCGATTCTTCTGCGTCAGCCTTCCAAGTAGATGAAGTACAGGCACATGCCACCATGCTGGGCTAAGTTTTTGATTTATTGTAGGGACGTGGTCTCGCCAAGTTGCCCAGACTGGTCTCGAACTTCTGGGCTCAGGCAATCCTCTTGCCTTCACCTCTCAAAGTGCTGGGATTACAGGTGTGAGCCACTGCACCTGACTTTTTCACTGCTCAGAACAGTTTTTGAATTCATCGATTTGGATGTCTTTTAGTGCTTCTGTTGGGGTTTTTTGTTTGTTTTTTGTTTTTGTTTTATTCAGAGTCTTACTCTGTCTCCCAGGCTGGAGTGCAGTGTCATGCACACGACCATCGCAGCCTCGACCTGCTGGGCCCAGGTGATCCTTCCGCCTGAGCCTTCCAAGTAGCTGGAACCACAGACGTGTGCCACCATGCCCAGCCAATTTTTTGATTTATTGTAGAGACGAGGTCTCGCCAAGTTGCCCAGGCTGGTCTCGAACCCCTGGACTTAGGCAATCCTCTCACCTCAGCCTCCCAAAGTGCTGGGATTATAGGCTTGAGCCACTGCGCCTGGCTGTTCTATTTTTTGTTTCACCTATTCCACATTGGCAAAACGTGAGGACTTTTTTCACCCACAGAAATGAGTCACTCCGGATGAAAGCCAGTGAATAGGGAGGGTGGAGCATGGAGGTCATGCTGCTTTTTGGTCAAAAACTGCTGAACACTGCAGTGTGGGCAGATACATTGTTATGGTGGAAGAACCAGTCATCTGTTTGCCACTTGGGACGTTTCTTTCACAAATCATGGTGCAAACTTCTCAAAACTTCCAGATAAAAATTTTGGTTGACTGATCGGGAAGAATAAATTTTAAAAGTACTACACGGGGCCCAACCTCCAAAAGATAATTCTGGGTGTTTTTTTTGGGAAGTGAGAAAGGATTTATTGAGGACAGAAAAGCTCCCACAGCGGGAGGGGACCCGAAGGGGTCGCCTTGATGTTTTTTTTTCAAAATCCCCTTTTGTATTTACTATCAAATTACATTTCTAATTTTTTTTTTTTCATTTTTTGGTGCCTCTATTTGCTGGTGTTTTAAGCACTGACTTGGGCTGCCCCTTGGGTAATCCAGCACTACTGACTTCATCCATTCTTCCATGAGCAGTGCCTTAAGAAGCAGGCCAGCATCCTATGAAAAGGGCCTTTCCTATTGTCTTATCAGTCATGCCCATGCAGAATCCCAATGCTCTGTCTGGCCATGCAGACAGCAGAAGAAATTCTGGTCTGCCACCAGGTGATTCCTTTCCCTAGGAGTGGAATCGTGGGTTTAGTGTGCGTAGGTTAGAAAGACTAGATTGGGAGTGAGGGGTTATTGTTGGGTCTGGGCAGCCATAGGCCTGTGGAAGGATGCTAAAAGCTGGGGATATGTAAGAGTGGATTCTTGGAGAGAGGAAGGTTACTAATTTGGTTACCTCAGAATTTTACCTACAGTCAGCTCTGGAGCCATTATCATGGGGTCTGAAGATAAAGGAACACCCTGTCTTACTGCTCTTCCTTAAAGGGGCTAGGGGGCAGGAGAGAAGGCAGGTGGCCCAGAAGTTGGAAGCTGATACTTCTTTTAGTTGGAGCAGGTCCACATCCGTAAAGGACACAAAAGTGCCGAGTGGGATGTAAAAGAGAAATGTATGTGTCAACTAAAAAGGGGGGGGAAATTCTTCAACATGAAAAAAGGGAAGAATGATTGGTCATGGGAAATAAGATCTTTCATGTCTGTAAGATTATTATCAAGTGAATATGGGCATTAAGAGAATGAATGAAGCCGGACTCGGTGGCTCAGTCTATAATCCCAGCACTTTGGGAGGCCGAGTTGAGTGGATTGCCTGTGCCCACGGGTTCAAGACCCGCCCGGGCAACTTGGCGAGACCACATCTCTACAATAAATTAAAAAAAAAAAAAAAAGCCAGGCATGGTATTGCGCGCCTGTAGTTCCAGCTACTTAGAAGGCTGAGGCGGAAGGATCGCCGGAGCCTGACAGGTCAAGGCTGTGGTGGCCGGGAGCGGCCACTGCACTCCAGTCTGGGTGACAGAGTGAGACTCCAACTCAAAAAAAAAAAATGAATGAATGAATGTTAAATGAATGAATTTCACTCAAGATCCAGAATTGAATGAGGAAAATACCTATTTCATGTAGAGTAACAGAGTTAACACTGAGAAGGGTGGGTCCCATACCATGCCAAATAGCTTGAATTTCTTGGCTGGGGAAAAGATATAGAGGACATTGGGATGTCCCTGCCCTCGTGGAACTTAAGATTAATTTCCTAAGGGGAAGAAACCAAGGTATATTTGTAAACCAAGGGGAAGAAGCCAAGGAGAGAAGATTTCAAAAATACAGAAGAAGGGATATTTAATTTTTTAAATTTTTATTTATTTATTTATTTTGAGTTGGAGTCTCACTCTGTCGCCCAGACTGGAGTGCAGTGATCGCTTCCGGCCACCGCAGCCTCGACCTGTTGGGCTCCAGCGATCCTTCCGCCTCAGCCTTCCGAGTAGCCAGAATTACAGGCGCGCGCTACCACGCCCGGCTAATTTTTTGATTTATTGTAGAGATGAGGTCTCGCCTGCCCAGGCGGGTCTTAAACCCGCGGGCTCAGGCAATCCACTCACCTCAGCCTCCCAAAGGCACGGGATTACAGGCTGAGCCACCAAGCCCGGCTAATTTTTATTTATTTATTTTTTTGAGTTGGAGTCTCACTCTATCACTCAGGCTGGAGTGCAGTGGCACGCTCATAGTCACTGCAGCCTCAACCTGCTGGACTCAGGTGATATTCCACCTCAGCCTTCAAAAGTAGCTGTAACTACAGGCACACGCTACCACGTCCAGCTAATTTTTTGATTTGTTGTAGAGATGAAGTCTCACCAAGTCACCCAGGCTGGTCTCGAACCCGTGGGCTCAGGCAATACTTTCATCTCAGCCTCCCAAAGTACTGGGATTATAGGCATGAGCCACAGCATCTGGCCAAGAGGGAATGTTTTATAGAGTAAGTCCCCTATAATTTGGGTGGTAGAAATAGAATGAGTAGATAAAACTTGGAAAGGAATGGAGACATCCCTTCCTTTGAGAAGAGGAAAGGAAGAAGGGATGGGAGTGGATGTGGATTTAGTTAATAGACGTAAGGGGGTTTTTATGCTTAGTGGTCTCTCTTGATAAGATGGGAATTAAAGTTATCAAGGGGGGGATAATCAGTTGGATTAAGGAGATTTATGATAATTGTCAAATTTTAGACATGCCATTAACAGATACAGGAATGAGACAGGTCTCCTGATGACCCAGCTGAAGTTGAAGACCAAGATCAGGCAGTGGCAGCTTCAATACAACCATACAATATTTTTGTAGCAGATAGGAGCACCCCTGGAACAAAAGCAGAAAAAAGACCACTGGGTGGATCCACGGCGAAGGCCTGACAACCAGGATATGGATTACACAGGGTCAAGAAGCAAGACAATTAGAGCAGCTGGTGAGGGATCATGAGGTCCAGATTGGACAGGGAGGGCCTGGGAAACTGGAAGGTAGTACAGTAGTTAGAATCAAAGTATTGGAGGGTCGGGCTCACGCCTATAATCCCAGCACTTGGGGAGGCTGGGAGAGAGGATTGCCTGAGCCCACAGGTTTGAAACCAGCGTGGGCAACTTGGTGAGACCTCATCTCTACAATAAATCAAAAAATTAGCTGGGCATGGTGGTGCATGCCTGTAGTTCCAGCTACTTGGAAGGCTGAGGGAGAAGGATTGCCTGAACCCAGCAGGTCGAGGCTGCTGTGACTGTGAGCATGCCACTGCACTCCAGCCTGGGAGACAGAATGAGACTGCAACTTAAAAAAAAAAAGAAAACTCTGGAGGTTCCAGTGAGGCTTCTGAAGATTAGTGAGCA